AATACTCCTCCTCTTGGAGTTAGGAATACTATTCCGGTGCCTCCTCGATCTGATTGGAAGGTTCCATCGAAGTACAATTCCCACGCATGAGCAGAGTCAGCACATAACACTTATTCATCAGGGAAGTCTCTTGATAGAGGAGATTCTGCAGGTATGGGGTGAGCTACAAGAAAGTCAACCAAGGCCTGGCTTTTGACGGCCTTCTGTGGGACATACTTGATGTCAAATTCCACTTAGCAAGGCATCCCAACAAGTATGGGCGTGTCATGAGAAATTTCACAGGATCTAATTTTGGTGTAAGTTTCACTTCATGACCAAGTAAGTAATGACAGAGTTTTTTTACTGTGAAGATCAGGGCCAGGCACATCTTCTCTATAGGGGGTAATTCCTCTCGGCCCCTTGCATTCTGCAACTGAGGTAGTATAAAGTAGTTCTATTCCCTCGTCATTGTTCTATGCCAACAATGCCCCAAGTGACTCATCTAGAGTGGTCATATACAGGATGAGGGGTCTTCCTAACACTGGTATAGAAAGTACCGGAGGATTGAGAAAATACTGCTTGATGTCGTCAAGGGCTGCTTGACATGCTTCATCCCAAATGAATGGGGTATCTTTCTTTAACAGATGTGTAAAAGGTTTACAGCGACCTGAGAGCTTTGAGGTGAACCTGCAGATGTACGCTAGCTACCCTTGAAGAGAGCGCAGTTCTTGCAGTGTAGTTGGCGACGACATTTCTTGGACCGCCTTGATCTTGATTGGCTCTACTTCAAGCCCTCGATGTTTGACAATGAACCCCAAGAATTTTCCCGAACCCATGTCAAAAGCGCTTTTTAGCGGGTTTATTTTAAGTTGATGAAGGCATAACTGCTTGAATACCTTTTCAAGGTCTCTCATATGATCATCATTCTCTTCGGATTTTACCACCAAGTCATCTACATTACACTCCACCTCTTTGTGCATCATGTCGTTGAAGATGGTGATCATCGCTCTCTGGTATGTGGCACCAGCATTTTTTAATCCAAAATGCATCATTATATAACAGAAGACCCCTTTTGCAGTCAAGAACGCAGTGGCTTCCTCATCTTTGGGTGCCATCCGAATCTGATTATACCCAGAGATCTGGCAGTGGCTGTAGAATGGATGAGCATCTTAGTGAATGGCAACAGAAAGTCATCCTTGAGACAGACGGTATTGAGGTTGCAGAAGTCAATGCAAGACCTGATTGGACCATTCTTCTTCTTGACTGGAACACATTGCTAGCCATTTCGGGTACTTGACTTCACGAATGAAGCCTGCTTGTCTGAGTTTGGTAACTTCGGCGTCTATTTGCATTTCAAGGTTAGGCTTGAGCCTTCTTGATTTCTGCTTGACAGGTTTGACAGTCGGATCAATGCCGAGACGGTGGACCGCTACTTAAGGGTCTAAACCAGGAATCTCATGGTAATGCCAAACAAAGACGTCTTGGTTTGCTCGCAAGAAAGTAGTGAAATCTTTGTTCTGTCCTAGAGACAGTCACTGAAATAAAAGTGGGTCTGGGTTCGGCTTCGTCTCCAAGATTTATTTCAACAAGCGTGTCCGCTGTGGCTTGACCGCTTTCTTCCCACTCTTCTGGGGCCTCTTGCAACTCTTCATCATTTTTTTCAGAGGTCTTTTGATCGACCTCAAGTGCAGGGACCCATGATCTTGACATCTCCGCCTCCGATAGAGGTCCAAGATGGATCCTAATTTCTGCACCTTCCCCAAATTGAGGAACGGAAGGATCTTTCATAAATATAGATTGTTTCTTAGGCTGCAAGAGTTCGACTTGGAGATTACAGAGAATTTGAGATTCAACGATTGTGGCGTAAGAAGTGTCCTCACATGGTCTTTGAACATGTGTCTGCAGTGTTTTCCCAATGCTGGTTGGTACTTCTTATACTTGTACCATGTGGCAAGATTTCTGAGAGTAGAATCTTTGCCCTCTTGACTCTCTTAGTCTCTACTCAAATTCGAGCTCAGGGGGCCACTAGCGTTTCTTTGGCTTCGAATTTTTGCGCTTCTTTGAAGAAGTTGGCTGTGCCTTGGCTTTAGTTGTCAGGGCGTCGGCAACTGTCAAGAATCCAACTACCTGTGCTAGGGTGTCATACTCCAAGAATTTACAATACAGATATTCCTGAGATGTGACAGTCAAAACATATATAGACAAATTTACAGTTTCCAAAGTAACAAAAGAAAGCTTAGGCACAACTACAATATCTTTCCAAAGTAGATCCTGACGAGCACTCAAAATAAAACCGTAGTTATCCTGAAAAAATGTTTACCATAGTTTGATGAGTTTGGCTACTCAGTAAGTGATCATCATAATCCTAAAAATAATCATGGTTGAAAGATATCAATATTTAAAAAAGGAGATCTATTAGCAGAATTACATTAACAGTTTCACTTTCAAAAATACATAATTAAGTATAATCCGAATAATTGAAATGCATATAACATTTTAACAGTAGTGCATAATTCAAAAGATTTTACAAATTACCCTACTGGCGTCCCAAGTAGGTCACCTATATACCCCATCATCGTCCTGATGGGTCCACTTAATCCCTATCGGCGTCCCAGACAGGTCCACTTAATCCCTGTAGGTCCACTTATACCTCACCGACGTACCGGATGAGTCCACTTAATCCCTACGAGCATCCCGGATAGGTCCACTTATACCTCACCAGCGAACCGGATGAGTCCACTTGCATACTTAAAGTATTTCTAAATCTCTTTAAACATTCGAAAGCAACAATATCATGTACTCAGCATATCACTGAAATCATTAATACGAATTTCACTGAAACCATTAATAACAGTCACTTTATATAACATTTCAAAAATAACCAATCAGATATTTTGGGCTCAAATTTAAAAAGGTAGCAGTTCGTAAAGACATTTCGAAAAATTCTTATAGAAATTCAATAATACTGAATTATCAAAATTTATGGGATATCAATTCGCAAATAAACATTTCACAGACAATGCTACAATCAATTGCAAAAAATATCAGTTTTCAAATAATAAGGCAGTCATTTGCACATGAAATTTATAATGTCTAAATATTCAAAAAC